TATCGTGTCAGGAGCAAACCAAACAGTTGTATTGCATTTTTAAACAAATAAACAAACAAACAAAACACAAAGTTTGCGAGCTTGGTAGTTGATTAAATGTCCTTTGACCAGTATCTGGCCACTTGAAGTGCCTCTGGTGTTACTATAAGAAGGTCCTCTGCATTTCTTGGTGCTAGAGCACAGTCTGTTCAGTGCCTTCCAAGTTGCCCAGTTTTCTGTGTGCCCAGGAGGGAGCCTCTCATTTGGTATCAGACATGGATTGAGATTCTGGGTTTGAGCCTGTCACTTTTGGACTCTTGTTTGCTGAGGTGTTCCAGCGAGTGTCTCTGTAGATCTTAGATAATGTAATAATAATATACTTTTTAAGATTCTATCTCTCCAAAGCAGCTCAGGGTGGAATACAGTACACATATACAGCAAACGTTAAATGCCATTATATAATTGACAATGACAGACAGTACATAAACATGGGTAAAGGTTTCCCATCTTTTCCCATCTCTGGCATCTCTAGGCTGTGCTCGACTCCGGCCATAAGTGGGTGCTGTCACTCCATCTTCTATGCCAAGGAGCTTTGTTGTTCCTTGGACACTCCCCTGAGTGAATCGCCAGCATGTTCACATGGGTGTCTTTTATTACCTCCCTGCCTTAGGTAAAGGTAAAGCTTTTCCCTGACATTAAGTCTAGTTGTGTCTGACTCTGGGGGTTTGTGCTCATCTCATTTCTAAGCTAAAGAGCCGGCATTATCCATAGACACCTCCAAGGTCATGTGGCTGGCATGACTGCATGGAGCGCCATTACCTTCCCACTTGAACGGTACCTATTGATCTACTCACATTTGTATGTTTTTGAACTGCTAGGTTGGTAGAAGCTGGGGCTAACAGCAGGAGCTCACACTGCTCCCTGGAATCGCATCTGTGACCTTTCGGTTAACAAGTTCAGCAGCTCAGTGCTTTAACCCACTGCGTCACCCGCCATAATGGTACCTATTTATCTATGCACCTTGCTGTTTTTGAACTGCTAGGTGAGCAGAAGCTGGCCTAATGATTGGGAGCTCACCCCAACCCAGGCTTGAACTGTCGACCTTTTGATCGACAAGGTTTTCTGTAGCTGGTGGTTTAACCTGTTGCGCTAAAGCCCAGCATAGTAAATGTCAAAGGATTTGAAATACAATTTCATCACATGGACATGGCACAATTGTTTAGATCTCTCTTTCCATTCCTTTATTATCTATCCTCTTTCCCTTCCCATAACACTACTCCTGAACGCCATTAAACTGTAAGATATAGGGTCAGCCCTAGAAACCGAGTCTAAAAAGGGCTCAGTGAGTCAAAAAGGCTGCTAAAGCAATGCCATGTCAGGGGCATTACATCAAACTGACACCTTCCAGCTCCTGTTGCTGATTCAGAGCCTTGTTACTGATGAGCAAACCAGAACATTATTGTTCTGCCCCCGTTTTGCATAAAACACACCACTCTCACTCATGCTGCTCTTTCATTCAAATCATAAACAAACTATGAATATTAAGCTGGGCGATGCCAGGTCATTTCCTGAACCAAATTTGCAAGACCACAACATGGTAGTTGACAACCTCTTGGAGATCTTTTGTTCATCGGGCCACCATAAATCGAGGCAAACTATACCGGTTTATGAAAACACAAGTACACTCCCTCATTGCCTACTGATCCTTGTTGAATAAGCACAGTGATTCATGCCAGTTGGCACTGCCATTCTCAGGCACCGGGCCTCGCTTTGTGCATCGAAACCAACGCATGACTTAGTCGGCACATTTTCCTTTAGCTTGAGCTGTTTCCTGGCGCATGATCCAATTCTGGCATCAGGAAAGGCTCCAGAGTGGGGGAGTGCATTGAATCATTCTGCACATCTCCGTGAGTGGGGACTGAAAACATGGTTTTGGGGCTCCATCAAGTGGTTGTGCCATCCTTGGGTCTGAGAGATGATTGTGGGATGGCCCTCCATTGCAGAAGGACATGAGCAGAGCAAAGGCTTAGTCCAACATTCTGGATGCAGCATGGCTGCACATGAAACTGAGCATGTTGCATTCATTACCTTGGGAAGTCAGACTTGGCCATGGCAGTCCACACTCTCGTTACATCAAGGATAGACTACTGCAACGCAATCTACGTGGGGCTGCCTTTGAAGACTGCTCGGAAGCTTCAAATAGTCCAACGAGAGGCAGCCAGGTTAATAACTGGGGTGGCATAAAGGAAGCATACAACTCCCATGTTACGCCAGCTCCACTGGCTGCCAGTTTGCTACCGGGCACAATTCAAAGTGCTGGCTTTGGCCTATAAAGCCCTAAACGGCCCCGGCGCAAATTACCTGTCTGAACGCATCTCCCTCTATGAGCCATCGCGGAGATCTTCCAGGGAGGCCCTTCTTTCCGTCCCGCCATTGTCACAGGCACAGGTGGGGACGAGAGACAGGGCCTTCTTGGTGATTGCTCCCCTGATATGAAACTCCCTTCCTGGTGAGATCAGGTCGGCCCCCTCCCTCCTGTCTTTTAGAAGGATGGTAAAAACTTGGCTGTAGGACCAAGCTTTCGAGACAGGGCAATGAAGCGGCAATAGGAAAGCTGACCAGGCCAATTGGATTTGACGCAGATGACTAGGATGGTTTTAAATGGTGTATTTTAATATTTTGATAAATGTTTTTAAATGGTTATGTATTGTATGTGAATTTGTGTCCCGGCATTGAATGTGTGCCGTGTATATGCTGTGCTCCGCCCTGAGTCCCCTTCGGGGTGAGAAGGGTGGAATATAAAGGCTTCAAATAAATAAATAAATAAATAATGTTGCCATTCCATACAACCAGTGTGTAAGCACCATCTGTGGGGCTTTACACCATACACCCCTAAAATAGCATCTCAGAAACTCTTGGGAATCTCTACTCTGGTTTACATAGAGAAGTGGTTCTCAACCTGTGGGTCCCCAGATGTTTTGGCCTTCAACTCCCAGAAATCCTAACAGCTGGTAAGAAAGATGGCAGGGATTTCTGGGAGTTGTAGGCCAAAACACCCACAGTTTGAGAACCACTAAATAGAGAATTAATTCAGTTTGATATCACTTTAGCCTTCTTCTTCAAAGAGTTCTGATGCCTCATCAAACTACAACTCCCAGGATTTTATAGCATTGACCCATGACAGCTTAAGTCAGCATTTCTGAAGCTGGCGGTCGGGATTCCTGGGGGGGGGGGGGTCACATGAGGGTGTCAGATGGGTCACCAAAGACCATCAGAAAACACAGTATTTTGTGTTGGTCACATGGATTCTGTGTGGGAAGTTTGGCCCACTTCTATTGTTGGTGGGGTTCAGAATGCTCTTTGATTGTAGGTGAACTATAAATCCCAGCAGCTTCAACTCCCAAATGTCAAGGTCTGTTTTCCCCAAACTCCACCAATGTTCACATTTGGGCATATTGAGTATTTGTGCCAAGTTTGAGACAGATCCATCATTGTTATTTGAGTCCACACTGCTCTATGGATGTAGGTGAACTACAACTCCAAAACTCAAGGTCAATGCCTACCAAACCCTTCCAATATTTTCTGTTGGTCAGGGGAGCTCTGTGTGCCATCACTGGTGGAGTTCAGAATGTGCTTTGATTTTAGGTTAACTATAAATCCCAGCAACTACAACTCCCAAATGTTAAAATCAATCCCCCCAAATCCCACTAGTATTCAGGTATTTGTGCAAAATTTGCTCCAGTGAATGAAAATACATTCTGCATATAAGATATTGACATTACAATTCCCAACAGTAGCAAAATTAGAGTTCTGAAGTATCAACAAAAATAATTTTATGGTTGGGGGTCACCACAACATGAGGAACTATATTAAGGGGCCGCGGCGTTAGGAAGGTTGAGAACCATTGGTTTAAGTGGTGTCAAAACTGCATTCATTCCCCACTGTGGATGTACCCTTAGCCATTGTGGCCTGCCGTATCTATTCTTTCACATCTTAACTGTATTTTTTTCGTGTCAGGAGCAACTTGAGAAACTGCAAGTTGGTTCTGCTGTGAGAGTATTCGCTGTCTGCAAGTACATTGCCTAGGGGACACCTGGATGTGTTACCATCCTGTGGGAAGCTTTTTTTTTGGGGGGGGGGGTAGGGGGGGGGGTATGAGTGATGGTCACTTGTTGGTCTGTTAGAGGTTTAGTGTCCATATTTGGTGTCAATTTGTCCAGTGGTTTTTGAGTTCTGTTAATCCCACAAACGAACATTGCATTTTTATTTATATAGATAGATATATTTATGGTTTTATGTCTCGGCGTTGAATGTTTGCCGTATATATGTTGTGCTCCACCCTGAGTCCCCTGCGGGGTGAGAAGGGTGGAATATAAATGTTTCAAATAAATAAATACTCACATTTGCATGGCAGAAGCTAGGGCTAACAGCGGGAGCTCACCCTGCTCTCCTGTTTTTGAACCACCGACCATTCAGTCAGAAAGTTTAACCCACTGCACCACCGGGAGCTCCCAGGGAAGGCTAAAGATCTTGAAAAACTGCAACTTCCATGCTTCCATAGTATTTAAGTGAGTCAAACTGCATTCAGTCTAGGGTCGAGGCGCCCTCTGTTTTCACTGTGTAAGATGTTACTGTGTTTTATTAATTTCTATGGAGGCTTTTAAACAGAGGCTGGATGGCCATCTGTTGGGGGTGCCTTGAACGCGATTGTCCTGCTTCTTGGCAGGGAGTTGGATTGGATGGCCCATGAGGTCTCTTCCAACTCTATGATTCTATTTCTATTTTGCTAAGGAAGGAGCACAAAGTGGCAGGCAGAACTTTACTTAACACACAGCTCCGTCTTCCCCTCCTGCCTGACGCTTTGTCAATATTTTCTGGCATTTACTTCTTAAAATATTGGTTTGAGCGAATGGTCAATTCGGAACGAGTGACTCAGTCCTCATTAGATTGAACTTGATGTGCTAAACTCAATCACTTAATCTTTTCCTCCCTTTTCTTCCCTCGTTTATTTTTCTCTGCAGCCAACTGGGTACATGGAAAACTCAATTTCCTACAGCTCAATTGAAGACGTTCAGCTGCTTTCTTGGGAGAATGCCCCGAAGTATTGTTTACAGCTCACCATCCCTGGAGGGACCGTCTTGTTACAGGTACAGTAAACACCAAAGAGCCCCTTTCTCTCTTTCTGCTGCGGGTTCATTGCTCTCATTTCTGTTTGCTGGATAGGAGGTTGCTGAATGCAAGGATGAACTGAGAACATCAAAATTATTAATTTTTATTCCTGTTATTATTATTATTTGAAACACAACAAGATGAGTCCACTACAAACAAGGTCACTCTGCTGGCTGTTGTATTGGGTTGCACGTCGGACACTTCCGAAGTGTCCAGGATTGTGTGATGTATCAGCGAATAATGTGTGCAGATCCCAGTAAGGTGGCATTCTGCAGCTGGCAGATCGTAATTTGTCAGTGCCGATTGTGTTTAAGTGCAGGCCAAGGTCTTGAGGCACTGCACCCAGTGTGCCGATCACCACTGGGACCACTTTGACTGGTTTGTGCCAGAGTCTTTGCAGTTTGATCTTTAAATCCTCATATCGTGTCAGCTTTTCCAGTTGTTTCTCTTCAATCCTGCTGTCACCTGGGATTGCAACATCGACTATCCATACTTTGTTTTTTAACATGATTGTGAGGTCAGGAGTATTATGCTCCAAAACTCTTGTCTGTTTGAATCTGGAAGTCCCAGAGTAGTAGCTTGACATGTTCATTTTCTGTAACTTTTTCCGGCTTGTGATCCCAACAGTTCTTTGTCACAGGCAGATGGTATTTGTGACACAAGTTCCATTGGATCATCTGAGCAATGGTGTTATGCCTCTGCTTGTATTATTATTATTATTATTACTATTATTATTTAAAACATTTATATTCCGCCCTTCTCACCCTGAAGGGGACTCAGGGCGGAGCACAGCATATACATGGCAAACATTCAATGCCAGGACACAAATTCTCATACAATACATAAACATTCAAAAACATTTATCAAAATATTAAAATATACCATTTAAAACCGTCCTAGTCATCCACATCAAATCTAATTGGCCTGGTCATCTTTCCTATAGCCGCTTTATTGCCCTGTCCCGATAGCTTGGTCCCACAGCCAAGTTTTTACCATCCTTCTAAAGGACAGGAGGGAGGGGGTCAACCTGATCTCACCAGGAAGGGAATTCCATAGCCAGGGGGGCCATCACCGAGAAGGCCCTATCTCTCGTCCCCACCAATCGTGCCTGTGACAATGGTGGGATGGAAAGCAGGGCCTCCCCGAAGGATCTTAATCTCCGCGATGGTACATAGGGGGAGATGCGCAAGGGCAGATGTCTTCACTATCGGGTTCTGATCCCTAAGTTGTGCCAGTCAGCTTTCATATGATACGACTATCAAGCAGAAAGTGTGTTCTAGGCTGGAGCGGTATCTATTGATCTACTCACATTTGCATGTTTTCAAACTGCTAGGTTGCAGAAGCTGGGGCTAACAGCGAGAGCTCACGCTGCTCCCCGGATTCGAACCTGTAACCTTTGGTTGCAAGTTCAACAGCTCAGCGGTCCAACCCACTGTGCCACCGGGGACTCAAAATAAATAAATAAATATGCCAAATTGGGGCATTTGGAGGGTGCCTAAAAGGTTTCTTTCTGCCGCCCTCTTTTTTATAATATTTTCTGGCCTGGATTATTTTCAAAGGGAGGGACTCTCGTTAAGACAAAGCCTCATAAAACAACCCTGAATACAAAGCTCCTGGCCAACAGTAAAAGGAACTTGGCAGGCCCCATCAGATTTTTATCTATGGTGGTCAGCCTATCAGTGATGCTTTCCTCCTGTAAGCACGGTCGTGAGAAGTTGGCACCTAAGAGGAATGCTTTGCTCCGCTGTGTTTCCTTTTGGAGATCTGAGGTCATAATATGCGTTTCATCAGCACCGATAATGGAACCGAATGGACCCAGGGAATGTTTATGTTGGAGTCTGCTTTCAGGGGCCAAATGGAGGGCTCCTCGACGGATGGGGATACAATGGCGCTTGTTATTTATTTGGAGCCGTCACGTTTGGATGTGTAACTTGTGACGGATGAAAGAATCAATCCCACAGTTTCTCTTGGATGTCTCCCCACTGCTGGATGCATTTAGGAGGAAAGTGCAAAAAATAGACACCAGTTACTGGGGGAATTCAGAGGGGGAAAGCTATATTTAAGTCCTGACACAGTAAAGAGTATGTCAGCTTCTGCCTCTCCCTTTTCTGCCAAAATGTAAGGTAAGGGGCCGGCTCTCATGGGTTTCTTGGCAGATGGCTGTGCTCATAGCCAAGCAAAGCAACAATGTGACCCACATGTTCTTGTGAAATGCCGGTTATGCTTGAAATTTCTCTCTGATTGATATGACCATCGTCCTGAATCAATCTCTCAACCTTTTTCTTGTGAAACTTGGTGGTTGTTGTCACAGGACGTCCAACTCTTTGTTTACCAGGCAAGTCAGATGTTCCCACCTCAACATCTTTTAAACTTACTTGCCCAACGACACACAGTACCCACATCCACACAATCACCATAAACAGCTTGCATTCTCTGATGAATCTCCTTTGGGGTGACACCTTCTGCTGTCAAGAATTCAATGACTGCTTTGCGTAAGGTTCCATACTTCGCACGTTAACAACACAACTGTTCAATGCTAAGGCTTCCCACCAAAATGAAACTGTAGAGGAGAGTCTACTGAACAAGCCAGTACATGCCACATACCAGTACTGCCATCTGTTGAGGAGTTACGAAGGTGGAGGCATTACTTTTCATTTAACCCTCGTACATTGACTTTTGTCTAAGATGAAAAGGGAGACCCAACTTGTGGGTTGTGCTCCTTCGGTGTCCTTTTGTTCCGCAGAAAGAACAGGCCGAGAAATATGTTCACCCTTGGGTCTTGACTGAAACGTGGCTTCTAAATTTGGCTGCTTTCTGCCCTGAAGTGTTGCTATTTTTTACCATCTATTCCTGGCAATCAGGTGCGCCCAGAAGGGAAAAACCAACAGAATAGAGATTCCCGATAAGCACAACAATGGCTGCAGAGTGTGTGCGGCCCACTGTTTTTGGAGCAAGCACAACCATATATTTATTGACTTTATCATGCGAATTTTCCAGGGAAATCCCAATTTAAAAAGTTAGGAATACAATTGCCTGTGTGCTTTTCCCCTCTGCCAATGTTTTAATCTCTTTCCCCACATCCTTTCTTCCTGTTTTCCACCTGTTTCTATTTTTGGCTCCGATTCTGATACCCACCTTTCTGGGTTTCCTTCCTTCGCACAAATAATGCATGGATTTCATGGAAAACCTGAAAGTCACCATGCTTTGGCTAGAGGAAAGGTCCATGGCTTCTTTCGCTTTAGCCTTAATGCAGTTTGACACCAATGGAATTGCCATGGCTCAGTTTTATGGAATCCTGGCAGTTGTAGTTTGGTGAGGCAACAGCTAAGACCTTGAGAAACTACAACTGGGAGGGCTGCGTAGCACTGAGTCATGGCAGTTAAAGTGGTGTCCAACCACATCAAAATAAATAAAAATGTAATTTTTGTTTGTGGGATTAGCATAACTCAAAAACCACTGGTCAAATTGACATGAAATTTGGACACTATACCCCTAACAGACCAACGAGTGACCATCACTCATAACCCCCACCCCCAAAACAGCAGAAAGGCCTTAAAAACCCCAAAACGTGAAATGATGAAAAGCTAAATGATGATACAGAAAAAAGGGAAGAAAGAAGGAGGGGAGAAAGAAAAAAAGAAAGAGAGAGAGAGAGAGAAGGAAGCATGGAAGCAAAGAGCAAAGGAAAGTAGGAAAGAGGTAGAGAAGGAAAGAAAAAAAGGGAAGGGAGGAAAGAGGGAGCAAAGGAAGGAGGGAAAGAGAGGAGGGAAAGAAGGAAAGAGAAGGAAGGATTGAAGCAAAAGTGAAGGAAGGAAGGAAGGAAGGAAGGAAGGAAGGAAGGAAGGAAGGAAGGAAGGAAGGAAGGAAGGAAGGAAGGGGGTAGAGAAAGAAGGAAGGAAAGAAGGAAAGAACTAAAGGGAGGGAGGGAGGGAGGGAGGGAGGGAGGGAGGGAGGGAAGGAAGGAAGGAAGGAAGGAAGGAAGGAAGGAAGGAAGGAAGGAAGGAAGAGGGAGGGAAGGAAGGTTGGCCACAGCAACGCGTGGGGGGATACAGCTAGTCTATATAAATAAAAATGTAATTTTCGTTTTTGGGATTAACAGAACCCAAAAACCACTGGACGAATTGACACCAAATTTGGACACAAGATGCCTATCAGGCCAACAAGTGACCATCACTCATGAAAACACTGAAAAACACAGCAGAATGGATTTAAAAAGCCAAAAAAGCAAAAAGATGCTACAACGCATGCGCAGAAATGACTCCCCCGGCAAACAAAACACACAATAGCATATCCAAACTTTCTTCCGGATTACAGCTCCCAGCATCCCGTAGACAAGGCCTTTTAGGAGAGGAGGAGTATCCAAATGCACTGCTTCCAAGATACAAGCTTCCTTCTCCTTGATTTCTTTGAGAGCATCCCAATCCCTGCATATTTCCAATTTCCTATTACTGGACTGCAACTCCCAGCAATCTTCCAGATATACAGATTAGATAGAGATAGATAGGTAGTTAGATTGATCAGGAGGACTGCTAGGAGTTGTAGTTCAAGAATAGGTAGAGAAGGAAGAACGGGGAGGGAAAGAAAAGGGGGGCAGGAAGGGAAGAGGAATAGAAGGAAGAAAAGAAGGAGAAAAGGAAAGAGAAAAAGAGAAGGAAGGAGAGAAAGAAAGAAGTAGAGAAAGAACGAGGGAAGATTGGCCATAGCAATGGGTACAGATAGTTAATTCTATAAAGAGGAAGGTCTAGTGTGGTGTTGTGGGGCCAAGACTTGCTTACAGGATCTAACATTTGTTGTTGTTTTTGTTGTTGTTGCTGCTGCTGCTGCTGCTATTGTTTTCATTAGCAGAAAAGATGATCATGCTCTCCTCTTATACCCTCTAAGTCAGTGGTACTCAACCTTCTTAATGCTGTGACCCCTTAATCCAGTTCCTCATGTTGTGGTGACTCCCAAACATAAAATTATTTTCATTGCTACTTCA